TATCGTAATTAGTCACCGACGTCAACGATTAGTCGCTTATTAGAAGCAAATGAAAGTATCGTTTGGCGAAACTGTTACTCTCTTGTAACTACAACAGCTCCAAGCTTTTTTCTGTTATCCTGAACACAGCGGACACAGCTCCGAACTCGTCAAACTATCGACAGAGTTAAGTCGGCCATCTCCAAGTAGAGCAATGGGACCTCAACGGGGTAAGTCATAAAGCCTCCTGAAACTATACTATGAGCCGTGACTCATGAACTGGTAGTTTCTGCTCATCACCTCATCGGAGTTTCTGCTCATCGGAGCCATAGAGTATTGCGCCAACATCTGCATGAGGTTTCAGCACGTATGAGCTCAGTATGAGCCTAACTAGGTGCGTAAAACATATCGTTCGATGCAGTGGGTTTGCAGTCACTGGCAGATCTGTTGATCAAAAGGTTCTGACATATTTGACACTTTTTTGTGTAATTGCACGAATGTATGGATTACTAAAGTGAACATTGTTAAAGTTAAGATCCGATAAAACTGTGCGAACTTTTATCGGTGTTCCAACTCGATAGGTTCCCTAATCATTGTTGGCTAATCATTTCCACTCATAAACGAGTAAATGTTCTATTCATTTACATAGTCAACATAAAATAACCTAAATCGACGCTCTGAACATATAGAAGGTTGATTCTTTGATACCTAGTGCCGTCACTACATTCGTGACGTATCGAAAACTGTCTACCTACACGCTAGGAACGCGATGCCATTGTATTTGATTCCAGCCTTATTTTCACAGGCATCTGATGGATATTATCAGTTTCGAAGGCGTCACTGTGTACAGGAGATCCCAGAGGGAAAACAAACTGTCGTTAGCCCACACATAACATACACGAAGGTATTCGAGGTGAAAAGGTCAATCAAGCTACTGTTCCCCGATCAGTCGTGAAGTATTATTAGATGTTGTCAATACATGTTAAATAGAAGCGTACGACCCGACGCTAGCCGGCAGACAAACTCGTCGTATTTTAAGTTCAGTAGAAATAAACCTCGATTTTGATGTTTGGAACATACCTTGAGCACAAAAATAGCTTTGTGTCATAGTGAGTCGAAATTAGAATAGCAAGTTATGAATCTGATAACTGTTGTTTATTAAACATGCTCCCTATACATCTGTGCTAGATCTTCGGCGAGGACCTCGAACACAAATCTCCCGAATAAAGTTAAATCGAGACCTGCGATTACGATCTACGATGTGTCCGATACGTCCCTTGGAGCGTTGAATTTACAGTACGCTAGTTAGGAACAACGATTATATAGCTGAGAGCTAATATGTGGTCTAACAGGACGGCCGACGATAGTGTTACCGATGTCCGCTTCAAGTAGCAGTTTCCTTAAAGTCATGAAGGCCGAAAGCGCGAATGGTAAAAGCTCTTTCGTATTACTATGTTCCTTATAGAACACATGCTTATTTAATGTTTCAGCTCGGATTATAAGATTTTAGCTCATTTTTGCATCGCTAAAAACATATGAACTCAAAAGACCATTATCAATAAGAAAAAAATATGCTGCACAACAATTCCTCGGCGACTTAACCCTATGCTGTAATAATTTTCCCATACAAATATCGTGCATAATTACGTTTACTATTTTTCAAATAATACCATCAGATGACAAATAGATGAGTGACTTCCGGCTAACGCGTATTTCGATTAAACTTCAAGCTAACACGGGCGGGCCAACGTTTGACAGCATTGGCCGATGAGCCCCCCCCATAGCGAATACGATATAACGTGATGCTTATTCTGCTTAGCTCGTGCACTTTTTGTCAGTATTGTATTTCCGTACACTCACTAGGATATCGTGGAGACATACCTGCTAATCTGAGGGACATGTTGTGGCCTATGTATGGAGCCAGACTAGACACACTTCACTTTGTGCCGGGGACCAGCCGTCTGATGGGTTTCCTAATGGTGACGCCGGACGTCAAACTTAAAATATAGAAAGTACTGCTGGCTAGCAACTGTTCTTAAATTAAAGTTAATCATCCTTGAAGCAACTAATGACACTGAGGGATGCCGCGGCCAAAAAGAATTGCGAAATAGTTATGGGAAAACGCCGATAAGGACACGAATGGTCACGTGCTTTACTACACTGCAAATTACAAAAAAAATCTAAAAAAAAAAAAAAACGAAAAATATAGAAATTAAACGAAAAGTGCCGCTTTGAATTAAATTGTTGAAAATGAGTTGTTTGCCAAGGAAATGTTTACATATATTCAACTCCAAAAAAAATGTTAGTCTGATCGAAATTGCTTAACGGCGCTCAATCATGGCGACACCGTATGCGAAGACACGCACGGATTTGACGGCTCGTTTATAGATTAAACCTCTGAAACGCATATTTCTCAGATGTAATTTCCAATAAAAATTCGGGCACATAGACGGAATATATCTCTAGATACTCGATCTTTCGATCGGCAATTTCAGAACCTGTGTATATTTTTCCTCGTTGAGGTGAAAAATCACTGTGAAAGACCTAAAGCACTGTATATTACAAATCCGGACAACATAAAAAAAAAAAATATTTTTTTAGAGAGTCGCCAGAGAGTTGATCGAATATTAGCTTGCGTATATGTTTTATGGGTACCATATTGCAGTTAATTAGTATATCCGTTATCCTTTGGTTCAACTGCTGGCGGACGACACACATGTTCGCCTGTGTGATTATTTGAGCGCAAAATATAATAGTCCAACTATAGTATTATCCTTCTATTTAGTTAACGGTTTCGGTAAAGATTTAGCCCATGTTTGTTAGATAGTTATGACTTTTATCTTAAAATGAACGAATAACGCGGTGATCAATCCTACCTTGAACCTTGTACGATCTAGGTATCGTGTAATCTTTTCTTCTGCTCGGCGCCTTTAGGTTGAATGCTCTGCCCAAACAAGCTTATGAGCCGATGCTTAGCAATCAATACGGTATATAAAAAAAAAAAACGCTACTCATTATTTTTACGAGTTTGTCAGTCTAGTATTATTCCACTGGGTCAGTGCTGGTAGTAACCCACTAAAGGTACACAGTTTCAAATTTAGCCCAATCGATGTGGTGAAGGTCGTAAACGCGAGAAAAAAAAGTGGGAGAAAAAGGGCAGCAGGAATCTCCCAATCTTACGTTCCGGGGCGACATGATGAAAGCGTCCAGCTTCGATCGGTCTGGTTGAACTGTGCCATCCAAGTTTGTATTGTACCATCTACGTACGGCATCCATACAACTTTTAGTTACCATTTATTAAATATGAGCAGATAACGATATTTTTTGTTCGTTTTAATGCCTGTTTTAATTTTTCGCACAGCGAACTATCTATGAGGACATCAATCGGCTTGATAACTTAGCAAACTAGTGTTTGCCCCTACCCAAATTGAGTTGAGAAATTACCAGGGCGAATATGATTATTTATTCTTTAGCATAGATACGGGTATATTTGTTCTTTATCTCACACAAATCTGGTTACTTTTTCTAAGGGGTTTCTTTTATTTTTTAATAAATAAAAATTTTAAATAAGCGACATTTCAATCAACTTTACTTATTTCTAGTTGATACTGTATTACTATATTGATCTAGTGATTTTATACTTGCGCCTAACGATACTCATAACCATTGTTTCTGCCAAATTACGCTACCTTTATTTGGTTTGGACACAAAGAAGTTTTCAATATTAAAAGCTGAAAAAGTCATGCGGAATTCACAAAATAAAACCTTTTTGTGAGCGAGCGTTATAAGTAAAAAAATCCAATGTTTTGACAATACGTTAGCCAACAAAAACGGAGACTAAAGGAGGAGACAGTTTGGCGCTGCGTCGAGGTGAAGCTGTTAAAAAAGGTTTTTTCTACAGCGCAAGAACGAGTCTGACCATTGCTTTGTAGTGAAGCGCTGTAGTTTTTGTCAACACTGCATCAGTACCAAATGTGCGTTTGTGACGTAGAGGGTCGTTACGTGCCTTGTGCATGTATGCACGTCTCGACCCCTCATTCTTAAGTTGTAACATCAATTTTACGCGTCCCTAACAATATTTCTCCTTTATATTTAAAGGGAAACACTGAATTGTTGGAATTTGCGCGAATGTACAAATCGCAGCTCCGCTATTCCTCTACATGACCATGCTCTTTTTCAATATTTTCTTATCGTAGATTTTTCTTGTGAACATGATTACGACATTTTTCTTCATTATCATGTTAGCTAGTACGTTAGTTTCGTTCTAGTCCCAGAGAATTAATTCAGTCGACATTACTTTCCTCATAGAGAATGCACAGACGTCCTACGCGAGTGACGAAGTAGGCAGTGCGGGACCGGAACCGTTGACGCTCATTATACGCGACGTCAGATTTCACGTGCTACGGAACACTTTTCTAGAGCGAACCGTCGCGTAATAGTAGTTGTGAAATAAATCTATTGGGTTGTACAAGGCTTTCTTTGATAGGCCGAGAGGGTTGATCAACTTTTGAGCCGTATAAGATTGAAAAATGCAATCTTAGTAGACGTTAACTACGCTCACCTTCATTACTCATACGTTTCAACCACTGCGCGAAATTGTGTACTTTATTATTATTAAATACTATTTTTAAGTTTAATCACCAATAAACGATCTAGTGTATCGTTTATTGGTCTCCTTTAGTAGTGACCTGGCTCCAAAAGCATCCTCTTCGGGTCTTCGTTGTTATATAGCTTTGCCTGGCTTATTCTTATGAATCCAACAGCGATGTTATGAATAGAGGACGCCATGTTCGCTATCCGAAGCCGCGTAATCAAACGATACTTGCACTGCTAACTAACAAAAGAGGATTTATGGAGACTAGGAGGAAGATTCGACAACTGCGAAAAAGGACAAAGGACGCGGATTTACTTCTATATGAAAAATGTAACTGTAATATGACTTATTTAGATGGTGTAGACTCTAAAACATTTAGCCTTTTATTGCTAGGCACATATAGGAATAGTTAAGACGATAGCAGATGTCAAGATAGAGCCGATTTTATTTCTCCATTATGTTTTATTGAATCAACTTTTTATACATTGTGTATCTTTTCCTCTCATTTCTGCTCTTAAGCAAAAAAAAAAAAAACATCATAATCTGTCGTTAATATACAACCGTTTGTCTTTCCGTTTCATGCCGTAGTCATCTGCTCTCGTCTAAGAACAGTGTTGAAATCATTCATTTTCCTTACCACTTAGGTGATAAAAAGTAGTAACCGGAATAACATAACAACCATCTCAAGTCACTTTCGTATGTGTATGTATGTATGTATGTATGCATGCATATACACGTTTTATTTTGAATGTGTTTAAGGCAGCTACGGACCAATAGTGTGTCTAGATTTGTGGCCACCGGTGACTGTTTTTTTGTATGTGTTCGCAATCTGACTAATGTAACTTTCCGAATCTTCGTTCGTGCTTCTGAACTCAGAACTGAAGACTCAGAAATGTTACCGACACAGTCGTCTCTGACAAAATGTTCTTGACGTCCTTACAACAACGCAGGACTTACGCTAACTGCTTATGTGTTTAGTGGGGTTGTATCAATTGCTGTCCCGATTAAAGTACCGTACAGCTGAGCTTTTATTCCTTAACAATCTAGTTACGTCTCTTTTTTTCCCGTTAGAAGTCAGCTGACCTAATAAATACGGCTTGAATAAATCTCAATCAGAGATTCTATTTAGTAGCATCGTGTGTACTGTCTTTAAAATTAGTGCATATATATGTTTATGTATATTTCGCAATGTTCATGTAGCATGGTCGCCAAACTAACGCATACTACTGCATCCATAACGATAACCAGCATGTTTATTTTGCAATAAATGTTCATCAGCATCGTAGCATAGTCGAGAAATCGCAACGAATAGGTAAAAAAAAAAACAAAAACCCCTTGTAACGTAAGTAATCAAAGCCATGGATAAAGACCCAGATCTTGTAGTTACCAAAAAAAAAGTCCTCCTCGCTTAGCAGAACACAAAATTGCAGCTTCATGTTAATACACTGCTCGCAAAAAATGTCGTCTATGGAGCAGTGTTCTATTCTCCAGCAAAACCATTAACATTAATTTTCCGTATTTCTGACTTATGGTGTTTGGGCCGTAGAAACTTGTCACTTACAACACACGTGCTTCAATTAACATATTCTTCATGACACCATTGTTTTTACATGCGTAAACGACGTACGTTTCCATCATTCCTTCGCTTTGTCGTGTTATTCGTCAGCTTCATTACTTCCTCACCGGCATATTGCAGATCGCCACTATTCCAACGCGCTCTTCTAGAGTAAAGGCTGAATCGCGTCCCCAGCTAGGACAACTAAGACACATGGGTTATTTTACACCGCATACTGCTTGACGTCCCTTCGTATGATGGTCTCTTTCATCGCGCTTTATATTTACGAAGCTAATAACCTGTGATTGGGAGACACAACCCTCATTGGGCTTCGGAGGAATTTAAGTATTGGACTCGCTTGTGTGCAGCATTGTGCACGTCATAGAAAAATACGTTTAAAAAAATACCATTAACATAGTGACTGCTATGACTGAAATGTATGCTGTTTTTTTTTTATCCTAGTTGTACTTATTTGACGCTATTGCCGTTAGACATTATCACGACTAAAAGTCAGTCAACAGTATTCTAACTGAACGCGTGAACAAACATTTGAGGTCGTCCTAACGATAATACGGATCTGGTCAGATAGGGTATGGCACATAGCAAAACACGAAAAATCCATGCATACTGTTGTTCGGAGACGATATCGAACCTATTTTATTTAACTTGTCACTTATCAACTACACAAGGCCATTTTCACTTACAGCCTCCTTGCCTCCATGTTTTTCCCACCTGCGTTACTAGACGGTAACGTCAGTATTATGAGGCAGAGTTACTGCAATAACAAGTTGCCCCTTTCAAACTTCCGTTTCTCAATCAAGCCTAGTTATACGCTGCTGACAACATTTAAATCGATGTAACAAACTCATAGTAGCAATGGCCATTAAGAGTGAAATTGTCCATTCATCGCTGGCATTATAACCACTACAGCATTATAAAACGAAGACAAACACGCTCATCGATACCTAACGTATCATAATAAAAATAGTACCAATAAAATATGCACGTATGTAGTAATGTGCTATCACGGCGGTAACATATGCTAATTACGCGGGGCTTTTTTCGTTTCTTCGAGATAGCACGCTGATGACGTAGCTCGTTGTTACCGCTTTCAGTACAAAAAAGCGGGAAGCTCCTGTTGCTGAATGAACATACACCCACGAAGCGGAAAAAAACTTGAACACGATCTAGCATTGACCCAATGTTTGTGGACGCTACATCGGCGTGTGAGCAATGACTGCACAGAAAAGACGTGAGTGATTGCCGTAATTGCGTCTGTGAGGCACAGCGGTCATATAGCCAGCCGCCTGACTCACAGCCTATTTGCACAGCTTAACAGCGCATAGCGTTTTCTGCCCTATGCCTTAAGCATTCTTACTCATCGCCCTGGTGATCTGTTCGCAAAGCCACTGCAATTGCAGAAAAAAATGACTCTATTGGAGAGAACACAACGTAGTTCTACCTCTTCACTGAGGATGTAGTTTACCGAAATGAATGATTTTTTTAAATATACATATTCATAATAATACAAATACACAGTAAAATAAAAGTAAGAAATAAGCGTTTTTTTCACAAGCATTTGAAATAGTTAATTAAACGATAATTGGTGTCGAGGAATATGCGTTTGCGTGTCTCTGTCTATACGTGACTAAACGTACCTCTATGATCTGGACGTTGGGTAAGTTGATGATTTTACCATTCTCCTTAGCCTGAAAGAGTCCCTTTCTCTTGGGCTCCTTCAGTAGAAGTTTGACACCCTCATTGCAGGAAACTGGGGGCCGAATTTGATCCCACGTGTATTCCCACTCGCAGTTCCAATGACCGAAGATGTCGCCCTTTTCCACAAATAGGACCCGTCTACAAAAAAAGCAATCTAAACTTAGCGATGTCGAGCCGAAAATCAAACTGATCCTGTTAATTTACTTCTCGCGTAACACCGAAGAGATAATAAGGGAGTCGATTTATTCGCAGTCATGAACAGTTACAATGCATTGACAGGAGAAATTAATAATTTGAAAATGATCAACCCAGTACCTGAAAAAAACAGGAATAGATGTAGTCTAAACGAAAAGGTTTTAGTCTATAAGGCACTCGCGGAAAATTGGGTGGAAATTTTACTTACAGGCGAGAGAAAATACGTGACTAGTTTTGTTTATAATGACAATACAGGTGAGCATGGCGCTGAATTCGCACATGAAGCTAGCACCTCGATAAATACTGAAAAAGGCACGCAGGACTATTACCGTAGTATACAAGAATCAGTTTCTAGGACATCGTTGCTAGTAAACAATTCATAATAAAGGGATTCAGGGTGGATACGTGAACGATATATCGCGTACAGATTCAGAACGTAGAAACATCAGCCCCATGTACAATACAAACAACTTGGAACCGGCGCTAAAAACAGCACAAATTCCTCACCAACTTCTTTTGCCCTGAGAAGATTCTTTTTTTATCTCTCACTCACTCCAGTGGGCCGACTGAGCGTCCATTTAGCTATGTTTTAAACTTTCTGCACTGGCTGACCCATCTTCTCACACAGGACCCCACCAAACCTTGTGGGGGATTTTCTTCACATTTATTTTTAATATGTGCCTCACTGTTCTCTGATTCGTCCCTTGAAAAGGTTACGTAGTTTTTAGTTGACTGAACACACCTATTATATAAATTCAGACCCAGAAAACTATGAAGCACTCCAGGCCAAGGGTCGGTCAGGGAAATACTTGTTTACTTCATATAAGAGGTGAGTGGCTTCCTCTCATTCGCAGTTTGTATAAACCTCGACGCAGCAGACAAAGATTTGCATATGCAACGCTGGACAACTCAATAAGCCAAGCCCTATCTTGCCAGACGCATCCGCGCCTTGTTATTGGAGACATAATCGTTGAGTTTATATATAGCTGTAAAGAATGGTATTTGGGAAACACTAGATGATTGTTTTGTGGGACCCGTTTGCCCATCTGTTTGTGTACCCCTAAGGACACACGAAAGCTAAGGCAATGCTTATATCTTATTGTCTGAAAGTCCTTGAATACAAAGTAGTCTATACGTTGCATCCAAAATCAAAGTAACAAAAATTGCCACCACTCCTTATACAAAGGACCTGGTTACGCTAGAAGTGCTAGGTAGGCGCGAAAAAAAGCTTCATTAAAGGATAAACAAATGACTGCGCTTACTGATTCGTGAGTATGACGAAGCTTTGTCCGTCGCTACAGACGCGCAAATGCGTTATATAGGCGTCGGAGGTAGCGTATTTTCCATTTTCGACTTCTTGTAGAAGCTGATGACCTTCAGCTTCCATACGATTATACGCCGATACCACTCCGCCCGAGCGGATTAGCCGTGGAGGTCGCACGGGCACAGCCACGTCCTCTAACTCTGTTGCTCTGATATGAGGAAAAACAACCCGACGAATCAATCGAAATTGCCGTTAACATTTAAGAAAGATCGTATTGCACTTGTTAGCAATAAATTGCGGCTTTCGTTCAGTTTAACTACATAGAATGTCAAGGTACTTCAAGATCAGTAATTCATAGAAGCAAAGCGTAAATCCTCGGGTCGCTAAACTGTTTCAGGGATAATACATAAGTTAGAGTACACACCTTGTAAATCACTAGTCAGCTAATGCAAGCTTCTTTACCTATCAAGATCATGGACATGCTGCTTACCTTTTGACAGACGCAAATGTCCCACTAGCAAAATCGACTACTCCAGATGCAGGTCGGGCAACTACTCCGATAATGCCCTTCCCCATACCCTTCATGAAGCCGGTGACGCCATCTTCCCGCGCTCCCTCGAGCGGTTTGGTTACGACGCCCGTCACTCCGTCGTAGAAACCCATCACCAGGTCCTTTCCGCTCTGGGCGATACCTTCGGTAATGTCCTGCGGTCGTTTGTTTTTCTCCAGTCGGCGCTTCTTCTGGTACTCTTCATCCATAGTGAGAGCGGCGACGCCTTTACCGACCGCCCCCGTGATTTTACTCATTGCATCAGCTGCTCCTCCCACAGTATGTCCGATTAAACTGCAAACTCCTGGAAATAGAAAAATATACAGAGTGCCATAAAGAAAAGCGTTAAAAAAGAAATAGAAAGCTTTGGACAAATGACATGTAAACTCCTGAAGCAACTATCTAATCATTATCAAAAACCAATGCTGAAGAAATTGTGGTGAAGTTATTTGTTCTCATCTATTATTTCTTAAAAATAGGTAAAAGTTCCCTTATTAATATATAAGTTATCACTATGGCGAAAAAACTAAAAAAACGTTTGTTGAACAGCCACTTAGAGAAAGCGCGCACGCCATTCCAACAGAATAACGTGAGCTCCAGAAGGGACGCTTTTGAGAAGCGCCGTGAAAGGCCTTGATGGTTGACGGCAAAGGGCACTGCTTAGGTCGCCCAATACGCTATTCGCGGTGTTCATCAACCTCAAGGCGCCCAGGAACGAAGTTACGCATAATGGCCGAAATAGCTATCCCCATAAATGTGCTCAACCTTTTCGCTGCGATTATACAGGACAACAGGATAACCATTGATAACGAAATGTCCGAATATCCACCTTTCACAGTTTATCTTGCCGAAGAATCTTGCTGGTCAAATACAGGGGTTAAGGAAATTAGTCCCAAGTCATCTTACATGCGGACAATTAAGTCATGTACAGGTGAAGGTGTAACCTCAAGTGTGGTCAACTCTTGCATGCCTAAAGGTGGCACTCAGAAATCTATGACTGACCGTAAACCTGACCAAGACAAAGGCGAAGGAGTTCGAGCGAGAAACAGGACAGCGGCCTCTAGTACCTCGCCCCTTACCGAGGTAGCCTCTTGCCTGTGTTACCCGGTTTATGTACGAGAGTTTCCTCTTCTTCGCGAATGGCAGTAGTTACCGCGCGTCAACGAAAAATGTGAAAAGACAGTACCGGTTGCACAGGCGACTATATCTTCCTATCCCTTACCTCCTCGCAACAGCCCTCTGTTCGTTTACCCTCGAAACTGCTTCGATCGCGACGTAAGAGATACGCAGTCTTACAGTCAGTAAGCTCGAATAATTGAATCGCATCAAAGCCTTTTTCCTCAAAAGAGTACTGGGATCTGTAGTGGTAACCTGAAATCTGAGCAAAAATCTATCAAAAACTTTTTCCAAAAAAAGCGATAGGAATTGTTTCGCTTCGGGTGCGACGAGGAACAATGAGCAGAAACGCAGGAACCAGCCAATAGACATATCGTCATTCGCCTTGCCGCAGGAGGACATTCTTCAACATATTAGGTTTTTGCAAGCCTGGCGATACACGTAGGTACTCCAGATACGAAGGAAGTTGTGATAGATACACCATACCGCCTGTTGATGCCTGGTATCGTCATATAGCAAATCTTTTAGATTTAGCGGATACACTTAACAAGGCTTGTATAACCCATAGCACGTCTTTTAATGGTTCTATATGCTCTTGTAAAACTATGTACTGTTGATTATTTTTTACGAAGTATTTGATTACCGCCAGCCAAGGTGGCTTGATTTTTTCAATTTGATTTGACTATTGTTATTAATAGTATTACTTTATATAACAAAGAATAAGCTCGTTGTTAGTTTTGGCAAACTTTAGTATCATTACAATGGCTATCTGTAATCTAATTTTAATCCCTACTATGCCACAGGCATCGTTGCCCATGTTTATATCTTTAAAGCTCTTGTCTACGCCATATGCTGCACCAAATTTACCTTGAGCAAGACCTGCGATGAACTCCTCGGGTCCTTGGATGGCGCCCTGCAGGGGTTCGTAGAATAGGTCTCCCACTCCTGTCGTGATACCCATCAGGAGACCGACAGGGTTACCCATAACGTCGAGTCCAAGAATGACGACGTAGAATTGCTTGAGCGCCTGCTTCGTGTAGTGGGACGTAACGTCCCCAACGAGCTGACTTATCGTAAGGAAGTCATTTTTGCGCTCGAAATAGTCCAGTTTCAGTATGGCCCCCTGGATGTCAGCGAGATTGAAACCGAAGCTCTTCAACAATAATTTCACGCCTGAAAAAGCGCCCTCTGGCGGTGGTGGTGCCGATCCTCCGGCTTGCATGGAGAACGACAAGTGGATCTTCATAGGCGAGAGATGTAAGAAGTCGATGTAGTCACGCTGTCCTTGTACGGCGTGCACCGAGGCAATCTCCCTCAAAGGTGTCTTCGCGACAACCATATCGCGCTCTATTAGTTCGGCCTGCATAGACAACAAAGCTATCATAGTAAAAGCTCGGAAAATAATTCGAGCATAGTATTGATTTGAAGTATAATAATAAGCTGTAGATGTAGAGGACAACTATGGCGGTAACATCTACTCTGTACCGTGTGCGTAGCGTAAAGCATATAGTGCACATTCGTCTGTTTTCTGAATGTCGGTGCCATTGGCATGTGTTCCTACGGCAAAGCTATATATAGCTGGCATATGAACTCCATATCTAGCACTTACATAGCCTGTCTTCTTCTCGGAAAGCGTAGTGAACGCGAGGAGCGAGTTTACGAAGCACATATCGATACGAATGGCAAATTCTTGTATGAGTAATTTACAGTATTTGACTTGGCGAAGGTTACTGCCAGCGAACTGTCGCATGATGAACGACATCTCGATAAATGGTTTTGCAAGTTTCTGTTCGCCAACCGATCGCTTATAAACGACTGGCGACAGGATAACAGGAAATTGGCAGTCACGGATTTGGTTGTCGGTCTGAATTCGGTGGATTTTGAGGTGGAGGGCTTTCTGGTTTTCAGTCATTCGGACCAGCAGCCACAGACCTGGTCGATTGGTACGGCGGAGCGCTTTCGATTCCGGTGCTATGATTTCCATCTCATTGAAATCTACCCGGTATTTGCCGATTTTCACTGCAGACGAGATGGTTTCTTGTCCGACAGCTTTGACAATGTTCAGGTATTTCTGGTACTCGACCTCGAGCTGCAATCCATAATCGAAACCAGAATCACTTGCTGCTCATGGTAGGACACCCTTGTTGTGATAGAAACTATTCCAGATGATGTTTATTCTGATGAATTATTACTATTGAGATTTCTGCTTTCGCCAATGACTGTACACTTACTGACACCGTAGAGTACATGCGAATGAGTCTCACCTGGGTAGAAAGGTCCGTACTAAGAGTTTTGTACTTTTGCTTGTGTTTCGGCCGCGATTCCCAGTGCGCTCCAGATCCCGTAACAGATAAGTAAACGATTTCTCGCCGTATAGGATCATCATCAACAAGCGAAATGCCCATTCCATGAAATTCGACCTCAAGCTCCATTGTGCAGCGTTCCAAAGCACCGACCCGCTCGATTCGTGTGAAATGATGCTTGTCATTGCAGAAGTATAAGACGCGTTGTTTACCATCGAGAAATGAACCCCAGTAGAGTACTTTGTTGTTTGGAAGCTGAATGACTCCGTTGGCATCCTAAGAGAAACGATAACGCCATGTCCCTTGATTATTACAAGCCACGCTTAGTGGAATGGAAATGGAAAGCTATCATAATCAAAGTGTACCTTTAGCTAGAAAAATACATAGCCAATACGCTACGTACCGCACGCGCAGCATATTTCCAATGAGTCTGACCTATTTGTTCATTCATTCATTCATATCAATTGGTACAAACCGTTAACGGGCCGATTTTGCAGACGTCGTGCTCGCTGACCCAGCAACAAATCTGACGGTTTTCTGTGGGGTCTTCCCACGCATAGTGAACCGAATGGCCCACTTGCACACACTGGGCCGAAGCGCCGGTATACATCTGTTTCACGTATACGTTTTCATCCGTGTCGTTGACAAGGAGCACAGCGGAAAGGCCCTGTTCGTACTCGGAAAACGAAACGACGGTCGCGCTATCTTCGACTTGACACGTCATGAAAAGACCTCCATACTACATCATCGTTATTATTATTATTGTTGTTGTTGTTGTTGTTGTTGTTCATCATACACCAAACGTATACGATCTGATTACGTTAAGCATGTCTAGCGTCCTGTTTACAGTACTAGCGAAAAAAGGTTCATTCACGTCCTTCATATCCGGGTTCAACATGTGAATTTGCAGGATACCTTTATTTGATTTTACAACCAGTGACTTCTAAGAATGTTGCCAAAATATATGACCAGGGACGAGTAGTTAATTCGCATAACACGTACCTTGTTGTCGAGCCTAAGCAGGACGGAGCTGCTTTCCTTAATAGAAAAGGGCACAGTGACCTCATTGGTGTGAGCGTACCTGACCACCAGTTCGAGTTTAGCAACTACGGTCGGCCATAAGGGAATACATTGCTTATTCTCGACTTTTAGCCATGGTGCCCCTTCAGTGTTCTCTTTAACCTCGATGGTGCCGAACTTCGAATTGTTCATTACCATATAAAAGGGCGTGAACGTTACGATTCGAGTCAAAGTCGTTGAGCTCAGTGAAATGCTCACGCTCAGCTGAAATAACACGGTTTCGTTTCGTAGTACGTTATTCCTAAAGCTACCGAAGCGACTTCCTAGAATGAATTCGGACGATAAATTTTTACCTAAATGACTGCGCGTAAATTTGAAATGTGCGTCACCCCGCCAGCTGGCCCTATCCGTAAGCTATAAGCTACTTTTCTACCCATGGACTATTTTTAGTAAATACTTACCGGATATATTTGATCCTTCTTGGCGCTCTTCGCCATCAACGTTCCCGACTGGCCAACCGCGTCCAAAGATGTCTTCGATGACCATTCCGAGTCAAAGATTCGTAGACACATTTTCTTCTTGGGTGCAAACATGTGTTTGGCTCCGAAGGTGAACAGCACTGGGTCCGGGTTATCTGCCCGGTGACAGATGCTCTCCTCGTTCGCCTGGAAAGGTTGCGTCACTTCGTGACTCACGGAGGTTGGAAGAATCCACGCGCAAATTTCCCTGAACCTCCCGCACGACTTTTCTCTTCGGATCTCAGGCTGATCACAAGGGAGCGTCATATAGAATGCGCAATATGGTATATGTAGTGAAGTTGGTCGTAAGCCGTGAAAATAACGAACGAGTTGATAAGACAACGCAGGGGTTAAGAAAAAGAAAAAGGGAGGACAGACTGCTCTGATTACCACATATATTTCGACAATGTTAGGCGCTACCTCATCACCGATTGTGTGGCTCCTAATTGTAACATAACATACACATACACATACATAAACAAAAATACCGCAACACTGATGCTGTACGTATCGATAACGAACGTAGGATCGAAAACGAAGATCGGTTAAAGTTGAAAGCTGTTGTACAGAGAGTATAAAACGGCACCCAGACCTAGGATACTGTATGGGACTAATAAACTGTTGAAAATCACTTGGAGAGCTCATTTCAAAGGTAAAAGCGGAATTGAGTAACTGCAATAGAGAACTTGCTCGAGATATCTCGGCCAACTTTTCTATTCTGATTACGGTCCAATAATTTCTAATAATAGTAAAAAAATTTCGAAATTATTTTATTCCGATGCATAGTTCACTTCAAATGATGATTCGCACTATAGCCCTTGTTGTATGTTTAGGACAGCTTAACTATCCTGAGGGATACATGTATGGCGCTGGAGTCGCTTGAAGCTAATAACAGTACTTCATGTACGCTATGGTATATCTAATTCTTAAGACAAGTGCGAGCGCAAACACTATTGCACGAAACGAAAACATATGATCAGACAGTGCATATAGAGTAAACGCATATTAAACCTGAATGAACAGAATTCGGCCCTCATATATTGTTGGCCAACAGGCGTAGAAGGTTCGCGATTATTGAAAGCTCTGGCCGTCGCTAAGTGTCACCTATCGCTAAACATCTTAGACCATTTAGATATCCAGATTTGAAACGGTTCACAACACAGCTTCAAGCCAGTAACGTATTATATTTTGTCGGAAGTTCAGTATCTCATGCAAAACTGGGCGTGAGTACATAGACACGTAATAGATCCTTATAGTTAGGTATTCCGACTGTATTTATAACATTCACGTACAACGACTCTATATAGAAATAAGGTCTAGATTATAGACAACCAAAAATTAACGCTTAAAAGAAACACATGCGACGACAAGTAATCATATAAAATAATTCACAGCCGGTCAGCAATAAGGACCGATCGATAGGACTTGTGCTAATAGATTTGGAAGGAAGTGAATCAATTCTTCACATGAAATTACCTCACATTCTAAGCGCAATGTGCCACAAAAATACATGGACAAACACAAAATATGTCTGTTTCTCAAAATGTTGGGCAAAAAAGAATACGGTTTACACCGAACATCCGTTTTTTTCTCTGCCGTATTCCCAAGGCTGGCAAACTGTTGGCGTGGATTTCGACTTCGTGCATTCTGTGCCCACAATAAAGACAAAAAACCAGCCTCGTGTCCTTGGGTCAACGTATTCCTTTTCTCATATGCGCCGCAGTTGGCGCACAAAAAATCCCCCCCATTTATCGATCACCATCAGCAGCAGACAAATGATGGGGGATAGCAATCTGATGAGAAAGCCGTTAGCCTAAATTGACATAGACAATACTTTTCACTACAGATCGTATCTGCGTTAGTTACTAGCGAAGATATCATTATTTGTGTATCGTTAAATCTGACGTAATTTATGTGCTTTTTCTTGTTTTATTGATTGCGTTGCAAGCTATTGTATAATACCTCTTCGAGTTCGTTGGCGCGAAAACACGAACAGCAAACGTTCGAGGCGGAAGAAGAAGGTGTGGCCATCTGCAACGCTCGGCTCTTTTAGATAGATGTTTAATATATGACTTTTAAATAGCTATATATTGTTATACAGATAACATCGCCTAACTAGAAAGCACACGAACATGTACAACGAAATCGTTAAAACAGAACAATAACGTAACCAATGAATTAAAAACAAAAAAAACTATTTCTACCCTATGGTATTGTGTTATTATTGAGATGGCTTGTTTTTTTTTCTAGGTTACATTACACGGCTCAGTCGTATCAGTAATGGTAGCTGGTGACAGTGATAAAGGTAGTCGAAATAAAGCGAAAGCTTAGCAGGGCTCTCATTAGTTCAACAGATAAAACATTACGCTTTACATTCACAGATAGACGATTCGTTTACGAAAAAAAGCACAACTGAAAAGGGTCGTCCTCTTATCTGCAAATAAAGCAAAAGATAGCTGGCGGTAACACTGAGGAGATAGGTCACGTGGGGAATCGTGCATAGAATTAGCAAAATAACAGGGGACCAATTACAAGCTCATAACTAATTACAGGATAGGAAACAACTCGCAACAATGAAAAAAGTGGCCTTTTCGGCCACAAGATGCCTGACATGTGCAGGCCAATCACCTATCGAAAAAGCTGTTTTTCGCCTTTGATAGTTCATTATGAGCATTTACTTTGAATATGGGTATAATGCAACATACATTACTGATCAAACGTCTTCTTCAACAGAACAGCGAGCAGTAGCTATATTCTTTTGTGAACAGATTACCTTTGTGTTATTTTTCGAACAAACTCAATTATGCCCATGGTATGCAGTAGTAGTACTATAAAATCATGTACAACTTTACTGCAGTACACCATTTCACAGTAGGTGAAATGGTGATGCCTAAGAATAGGAAAAAAAAACAGTAGTTATCCTAGCTTTTCAAAAACATACCATAAAATTAATAGTCATTACCTTTCTCACAGTGCGTTAAACACTTGTATCTAAAAGCGACCGTGGGACTTGGGCATGAGGAACTTTTTTACTCGGTAAGCTTGGATTGGATAACAATTGAGACGTACAATGCGTGGACACAGAGCAAAACAGAAACTTCAACCGGTAACAAGTGTTTGGACACACTGGAAACAAAGATAGCTATTACAGATGACAACTAATTAAATCATGGATTATGACCTAGTCACTGTAATCGTATTGCCTATTGCACGTTAATACTTCAACGAGGTTGGTTGTGCTTGAAAGCGCTTGAGCAAACCTGACTTCAATCGTTAATGCATTAGGCAGATGTAGGGATTCATGAGGCTAAAAGCAAATTCATTCCCCAAGTAATTCATCAATGTTGTCCTCTACTGAGGGATATAGGAAAGGGACGAGTTCGGAGGGATGAGGAAAATTTCCGGTTAGCCGCACGGTGTCCGCACCGCACGAGATTAGACATCATCACTATAGCGTATCATTAACGTTTCATCATCAAATTAGTTTCAACTTCACTTCCTTCCAAACTTGAGCAAACGTAGAACGTATCACAGAATATTATACGATGACATTTTAGATAATCCGAAACAACGTCGTGCAAGAGAAGAAAGCTTGTTTTTATGTATTTGAATATCGATTTTTTTTTTCGTCTTACCGAGGTAACAATTGCATAGAATTATGTGTAACTTACATATGTGAGTGTGCCCTTGTAACAGTGTAAAATCATTGAACACAGAATTTCCGATATTTAATGCATTACTAGACAGGTACTACACGCGTCAGTCAACGTATTTAGTATAATATAATAATAATACATAAATACAAATAAATATCGTTACATTCAACGAAAACTTCGAATAGTCAGTGTAGATCCAGAGCGACTGTCTGTGGCCAGAAGCATTCGATTAGCGCATCTTAAGCAGCCACCAAGCGTGTCAAGGCTCAAGGCGTCTTTCATTCGCTTCATCAGACGGCCAACATCAGAATAGAAACGCATCTATACTAGAGCGAGCGATGAATGATATTGAATCTCTTACGGACGACTCAAGTTAAATACGGTATCAAGTTCAATAAATAAGCCTTAGAGTATTAGAAAGCAACTGACGACCGGCCTGGACCATTAATTCAATGGATAAATTAGTACGGCAGGCCTATAACTTCGTATTTTTCGACGATTGCTCGCTGCTTACACGCCTTAAAATTGCAGCAAGGTAAAACTAGGGGTAAATTCTAGGGAGACCTAAATCTCAGAAGCTATATTCACTTGTAGAACGTTCGGTGTATTTTAAAGCACTGAAAAACATGCTTCGTTCACGGACGCCGCTTTCGAAATTAAAACATTTTAGTAAAAAGATAAACATATCTTTTTAGCATTTTTTTTTTTTATGCCTTCTCTGTGCTGTGATTCATTCTACATTTAAGAGGAGTCGAATTCGAGTCCGTTTACGGGGGCCGGCCCGGCGCGTGCAAGCAACCCAATCATGCCACTACACTCGGCTGTAGTTCAGTGTTTAAGTGAATTTGTGAGTACGAATCAAGTAATAAGAACAACAAAGAAATAATTGGCACGGTCCAGCGAGTCAAGCAAAACGAACAAGAATTGTTCGCCTGATCAGGCAGCAGCTTCAATCTCTAGTAACAACCAACTCACTTGTTTCTTGAGAGCTTTACTCGATGATGATGACGATGTCGATGAGGAGGACGACAATGACGGGACTGAGGCGTCGGCTTTCGAACCTTTTCCCTTCTGATCACGGTGTACCGCGAGCACATCCAGCATTGTATAGGAAGGTCATGTCATAAGGAAAGTGTCGATAATTTAAAGGTGATAACCAAAACAGCATCCGAGAAGCAGGAGCATTCGGACCCGTTCGGTAATGAATCAAATGCGGAATGGTTCGCCGAACAGACTGAGCCACGAATACGAGAGCGCGCCCGAAGGAGAACGAAGTAACCCGCTAGTGTATCTATTAAAAGGTACCTAAAGAGCGGACTGTATTTGATGGCATCGTTCTAGAGGGGAACGAAAATGAGCTAATTATGATATTGTTCCCCATTAGGAACCAAGACACAGCCGAATGTACAAAAAATATGCTGTACTATTACCGAGGCACGTGCGTCTATACTCATATACACATATATAATATATATATATATATATATATATGCTACGCTATTTCGAGGCAGACTAATGGATCTACCTAATAGTTATATGCTTGTTGATTTCTTGCAATGGAAGCGTGTTTTCCGCGTATAGCTTTCATATCCGTCGACACAAACGATAGTTTGTGTATGTCAAGTACTTTGCACCTACGGTGCACGTTACCTAAACAGATACTCGTATATACGTTTCGTGTATCATTTGAAAAACTGCAGCGGTGCGAGTACTCTTTGGTTGTATGCACGGAATGGTCGTCTATCGTAATTCATGGTAAGTAAGATAAAATTGTATCTATATTATATGGCATAGAATCTAATTAATATAGTGGCCGATCTGATCAACTAAGATCAAAAGAAATTGATTGGAACCTTCGAGAAGCACCCACTTGAGACCAGGAGGTAACTCTTAAGCTTTATTCTCTGGATGCACTGCATCCAATAGCTACTTCTAGGCAAATAACGTTAAGTGAGCAAAAAGTAGTCATAACTGGGTAGGAAGTGTTCTGCTAGCTATACTCACCTTGTAAAAGAGGTCTGTCTGAGTCTTGTTCACCATCCAGAATGGACAATGTACCGATAACATAGTACTACCCTCTTTCCGTTCGCAGTGAAGTGCCAAATCCTGTAAAATAAGGTCATATTAATAACGAGTCAATTACATCGATCGATATATGCTTAGGTTGAATATGTACTAGGTAGTCAGTCGACAATTCTGTTATACATCAGAATTTATGACCTATTGATTTAGCTGCTTCTGCTATTTTTAGCTCGGTAAATATACGGAAATATCATGATCGTTTTTGCTGAAAGGATGATTGAAAGCCTATTCACCAGCGTATTCCCCTGGTCAATTAAGTCTTTAAAGGTGATTGCTGTGAGTTCCTCCATTGTGTCATTGATAACGGTGGTACTGTGCCAGCGAACTTTTGCGTATTCCATACGAATGTTGAGCACATTCTGAGTTCTCTTGGCGTTCCACAGCTCCACTTCATCGCCGGATTTCAGGTCAAGGTGGACGTTGCTTTCTTTAAGATTGATGTCGATAGGAAACGGCAGCAGGTTGTTGATCATGACTGTCGGTGCCAATCGGAGTCTATAGAAAGTGCATTTCTCGCTTGGGCTATCCTCATGTGGTAGAGCTTCCGTTTGCGACATAACATTCATGTACAGTGACTGAAATGGCATACATTCATAGATCGCAGTTAATCTCCAAGGGCCATGTCAAATCGCGCACGCAGTGACGAGGTTCTTTATATAGGCATCATTTCGTCACTTTTAAGAATATTCCAAATAAGCGAGATGCGAAACTCTCTTAAAATGAAAATTTGAATTAAAATGGAATTCCGTAGCACTAATTTTCCGGTCACTACTTACCGCCTTGCTGGGGTCGGTAGCTTTGCAGATGATCAGCTGATCTAGACTCATGGCGCACTTCCAATTGAAAGCATCGTCGGCTATCTGGTAGCGATCGCCTGCTGGTTTGAAAAGGAGCTCGTTCTTGCAGGTGTACAATGCTGCTAGTGGTACATGTACTAACGACTTCGGTGCCACCGAGGCACAAAGTCGGCGCTCGTCATTTAACGTGTAATAGATGTCCATCGGAACGGAGAATGCGTTGAAGACTTCCACGATGGAATAAAGTGTCACAAGTCGCGCTCCGTAATGCGAGCTGACGTCAACTACGTACGACCAGTCGTCGCCTGGATATGAGCGGAAAGGTATACGGATCACCCGTCGAGCTGTGTGATTCACATTTAGTTTGCGCTCGACCTCCGTCTCACCGAAGGTCATACGTACATTGAAGAATAACGTATCGTCTTTTGACTGGTGCACGTCTTCCATATTGCTGTCCATGAGTAACGATAGTGAGTCGCCGCGATTCCGGAAATCGAGATGAAGCTTTTTATTGTCTGGGACCACGGAGTAATCATCTGTAGAATAGGGAACAATTCGTAATAACGACAGAAGACATCAAGTAAAAACTGTTTCAGAGGTCTTTTGGTAACTGGAACCTGAATGGTTATAAGGTAGTACAAAGTCAAGTTGATTTTTCATTCCGATTTATCATCCGGAACGTCGTTCGATTATGTTTTCCATTACTTGCGTTGTCCATCCGTATTTCGGCGATTGAATTACAATTGATGCAATAGTATGAGTCACGCAATTTTTATTAAAGACATAATTTTTTCTTTCATTTCATGTTCTAGTAGACGCCTTACCTTCGGTCGTAATAATCATGAAGTTCGATTTTTCCACATTGACTGTGAAATGTATTCCCAGCGAGTTCTTAACGCAGTAAGGCGCATCAACCTTTCGTGAGTCCAATACGTCCTCTTTTTTGTGCAGCGCCTGCGAAAATTCCCGGCCCAGGGATTGCAGTACCTGCAGAGCAGTCTTAGTCACCGTAAATTCAAGGCTGTCCTGACAGCATACGAGCACTTGATATAACGGCGGCAGCTGACTCGCGGGTTCTTCCTTATCCGCTAGGTCGGAATTTGACGCCGCGCGTACAGCCATTGTCATTTCCCAGGGCTTTCGACTTCCGCTCAAAGTTTCGACCGACTCAAGAAGCGGCTCCCATACGGCATGTCTGCATAAACAAGGTAAACAATAGAAATCAGAGGACGCCGCTCTATTAAAGCCTCACGAAAGGCACAACAGAAGGCCGTTGCACGCTTTGAAATCAGTAGAATTTTTTGAGAAGTCTTTTCTTCCTTCGTATAACTTGCAGGAGTAGAAACAGTGTACACTGTACATGCTAAAGTGCGCGGCTTGGCTTGCCGCTAACAGCCTGTTTACCTTTCGTTGTAGTAGAACACGACACAGTTGAGTACAGAGTCGAACTCCAAATTCGATGACCAGTTGCGAGCATCACCTTTTAGGCTCGAGTTCACGAGGAGCATTGGCATCGTCTGGGCCCCGGAGCCCTGTTCGATAGTTAACACAATTCGATCCATTGCGAAAGAAGCAGTCTGTTCCAGATTGGCCTCCGATAGCGCAAACGGGGGTTCTGTAGAGACTCCCGCTTCGCCACCTTTCTTCTTCATGGTGTACCACAAGCTTTTACCTTCGAGACGTTGTGGCATCCAAATCTTACGCGGGTCGAAAAATCTGTAAATACATGTTTTTTTTTTACTTTATCTGTCCTAATGACTGCGAAACATAACCCTGCAGGTATAGTTGAATGCAGTGGTGCCGTGCAATATCTAAACGAGTTGGATTCATAGAATTGTCAGCTGTTCACGTGACCCGTGTCTTACACACGACAATTCGCCATACACCCTCGAATACAATATAAAAAGCAATGCTTACACTTTAAAAGCAAGTGACAACCAAACTTACTCAGGGGGTTTATCCAGGGCAGCTTTGGCAGGCGCAGCACTAAGCGCCGATAAACTCGCGCTGACGATTTCGACAGCGGAAGGCGTCATGTGGATTTCAATCGGAGTAACATCGACTTTGACCTTTAAGCTTTTGTTGTCCTGATCGGCTTCGGCAGTAATGTCGCATCGCCGCAAGATTTCAGAACGCGCCCCACCGGAATCCAGTGACGAGACAAACATTTCAATGTCCTGTAGCTGAGCCGTAAAGTTTATTTTCACTTTGTCCTGCTTGATTCGAATATTGACCGAACTTTTGAAGATGATACAAGCCGAGGCGGGATTCTCGAGGTCGGCTACTAGCAGCACATCTGGTTGAACAATTTGCAGGACAACAGTGAACGGGACGGTCTTCTTTGGCGGCGCTCGGGTAACAGGCGGTCCCACACCACTCACTGCCGGTTGGATGCCACTTGGTGCGGTCCCAGCAGGGGCAGAACTGCCGACCCCAGCACTCCCAATGCTGAGTGCTGCACCCCCAGCCCGTTTCTGTCGAGCCTCATTTTTTTCGTGTTCAATCTCAGCGTTCACGTTGGCTTGATTAACTAGTTCGAGCAATGCCATATTTAGTGATGCGCTGTAAACGAAGCGCATTTTGGACACCTTGATAACGGTTGCAAATGCACCCGTGTTCTCAGCCTGATAGATGATGTCTACCATTTTCTCGCTGTCATCACCCTTCGTGATAAGTCGTCGCAGTCCGGCTCGTCGCGACACCTGACGGTCTTCAAGCAACAAGTTGACAAGAAACATGTTTACCCAGAAAGAATTGTCGTGGTTGAAATGACCGCAAAGTTTGAAGCCAGCAATGTTGAGCTCACAGAGTTCTTCGCTCTTCTCGATCGTTCGCCGAGTGTAAAGCTGTAGCTTAATCTCTTGCAACGTAAAGAAAATCTCCATGCGAACCAGTTTCTCCTCAGCGGCATTTTCGGCCGAACGTTTCGACACGGGCCTTGTAGTGACGTCTGCTTCTACAACTTGCTTCGTGCTCACCCCAGCATCGCCCACTGTTACAACATCTGAACAGCTTTGTGGCTTTACAGCAAGCGGTGCATGAGATTCAACTACTTCGGCTGCTTTGTAGCCGGGCGGGGTCTCACCGAAGTTCTCCCTAAGTGTTTTCATTAAGGCAGCGTAATCATCTTCGCTTACTTTAAAGCCGACTGACGGAATCGTACCCTTCATACGGAGTTCGGGCAATTGTTTGTGTGCAAACGCTGTAAGATTTCGTTGAACGTCAAGAATAAACGAGACTGGGTCCATTATAGAAAATTCCGAGTTAGCCACGCTTTCGCGTGATCGTTGTTTCAATTGGCAACGATACATTTTTAAGTTGTCAATGCTAATCTTGCTGTTTTCATAAAGCACTGGAGTGCTATCTGACGTCACTGCAGGTCCAGGCTGAAACGCGTTGCGGATACTTAGTACACCGAAATCCATCACAAGACAGCTCTGTGACTGAGAGCTCTGCGGCACGTAAATAACTGGAGCCTTAACTAGAACAAGGATATAACAAAGAAATTACCGTTACGGTTACCATAAAGTCTATTCAACTGAGATATAGCACATCACAATATTAACGCTTAAGTCGTGAAGAACGATGGATTTCAACCTTAGTGAGCCCTCACTCCGTCGCAAGAAGTTGGTCCCCTTTTTCTAAAAGCTATACTTTGACTCGATTAGAATCATTTGTGTTTTACATGCAGTGCTTAAACTGTTAGGCATTATTTCAAACTTCAGCAGGAAACTAGGTAACGCGCGAATTCGAACTCGGGCCACCATGTGTCCCGAAGTTTAGCAGGAACAGGTTACTGGCAGGCAAGTTGCAGCGACCTATAACGGTGAAGATGGCTCGCCTTACAAATCGTGTATTCAGTGAAGGTTTTACTACTACGAAGACCGCGAGCTGTTGATGCCAGAAGTTCCGGGAAAACATTTTAAACTCAAATATTAGTATCGTAAAGGACACCCAGTGCAAGTGAATAATGAGGAATTGAAAGCCGCGTACATTTATTAGTACTTAGATTTGGCCTATGTCAAAACACTATACTTGTTTATTTCGACCAAATTAACAAATCGGACAAAGGTATCGCAAGACCGGAGGAGGATTAAGAATAGACGTATAGACGCTTACTTTAAACGTTACAATGGTGCACCACTTTTGACAGAATTATGAATGGTGATGCAGAATCGTTCCCAACAACACCTAAGGGCAGTCACGTCTGCCGGTGGGTGCGATCCACACCGAGGAATACCACCCCAAAGCGAATGTGCAGTTGCAAAAGCTTGTGTTTTGTGTTCGGTGGTCTAGCGCAATTATTTACTACAGCTTCATGAAATTTCGATTTCGGCTTACGGGTTTCGTCCACAATTAAAAGCGATAATGAAACTCTACCTTGAACAGCCGAAATTAGTAGACCACTATTGCTCGACAATACTCAATTTCACATTATAAGCACCACATTGGCAAAAGTGCAAGAGGCGCTCTGTCATTCAGCGTACTCGCCAGATATTGTTCCTATAGATTTTCTCAAAATGTCGATCATTTCTAAACAGGAAGATCATAATCTCTGCATAATATGGAAATTGCCCTTCAAGCCTTGAACTCCAGATCCAACAAGGGTTGTCATACGGCTAAAAATCATAGATACTGGAAATAAAAAGCCTGTGAAAAAAATTCGAAAAGTCGGAATTTATTTTAACGTTTCATACTGAACGACCTGATATTAAGACCCAAAAATTTAATTTATACAAATTTACATAATCTGAAATATCCCAAGTGTTTACACTTACTCATGACATTGATGTCCATCTTGTAAGCTTTTGCGTAGGCCAGCTCAGCTGCTCCTTTTGCTGCCGCCGCAGCAGCGGCCGTTGCATCGGCAACTTTGTCCTTGGCCCCCTGAAACGAATCCAAAAACGACATCACATCCAAATGAAATTGCCAGAGAAACACGAAATGCATTTGGCCGATCGTTGCCTCAATTCCCATATCGACTCGGTTCATGTCGGTGTAACCCTCTGTTCCACTTTCTTCGAACATCGAAATCTTCGCATTGAGCACGTCATCGCCGGTGATAGAAATTATCTGTGGATGTTTCGACATTTGATTGGCGTCTGTCATATTTATCGACTTCAGAATGACGTGACTGACCATCTGACGTCGGGTCTGGTCAAGTCCGGCTTCAACACCGGTAACGTCCATTTGTGCTAGAAGACGCCCCGTGCGACAGAGGATAATTTTAAGTGCGGCCAGCGATGCAAATGCGCTGAACTGCACGACGGGTGGTTTCTTCGGCGCTTGCGAAGCGCACTTCTTTGTAGTAAGTTGCATCTGATTTTGGGCACTAGACACCGATTGTGAGGTGATTGATCCGACCATGGGGTTATTGCGATCCGTAGGGTTGGCATTTACGGTTGGTGGCGCAGGTTGTCCTTCAAACAGCTGTTCCGTTAGATGGTTGGCAAAACTCATTAGTGACACCATTGCTTCTTTATGTAGCGCGAAAGTCATCTCTCCTACCGTACAGTTGACCGCTTTGAGCGTATTATGGAAACGAGTACGGAATTCTGGATGTTTGGGTTCCGCTTGGGTGTACCTGCAATTATTATTGTTAGAAACTGAACCACATATTGTATTGTTCGCATGTCGGCATTGACTATTATGCCATGCTGACTTAGTTGATGTGTCGTTACAATCCAGAGGGTGGTCGAATGGTCCTATACTTGTGCTAGATGACATCGCATTAGATATAGCTGCATATGTCTGTATTCTGTCTTCGTTTATCAGTCGATCAAACCAATGTAAATACTCACGTAATTTTTAACATATAACCGCTCCCTGGATCCACACTGCTCTCTAGAACTGGCAAAGGCTTTTCCGTCTGAGGTAATGTGTACTCCTGATGCGTCAGAGCGGTGTTTTTAAGGGTCACCACGCAGCTGAAGTCGAGCGGGTGAAGAATCATCACCGCACGCAATTCGTTTGTGGTGAACTCCAAAAGGGGGCGCTCCGCACTACCTCGCGTCGTTACAACCTGAGTCACGTTGCAAGTGAAAGTAGTGATTTCAAAAACGAGGTCAACTATGACCTCTTCGTAAGTGTCCTGTGACCGCTTCGTCTGGTCGTCCTTGTCCTTCTGTGCTATCGCAACATTCTGGGCTTGTCGATCGAGAATAACCTGTGCGCTCCCAATAGTCTGTTGAGACGCCGGATTATTTCCCCCGTCTTCGAGCAATGTACCCTGCCCAATTTCCTTTAGCTTTCCATGAGTTGGTGGCGAAACAGGTTTCGGTTCACCACTTGTCGACTGAAGGATCTTCAACAGGTTTACAACCTTCTCATCAGAGAGGGTGACGGTCAAGTCAGGCAGCCTTCCAGACACTTTTACTTTCGGTATCCGTTTCTCATCCGGAAGGAAGCAGATGTCGACGTTCACATCAAGAGAGGTTGGGTGCAGTACGTGCGTTCCCTCAACATTATTCTTTACGCATTGCCGCCATATTTCAGATGCTGGCACCACTCGAATCTCAGCCGCGCTCAATGTTAGTCGCATCTTATCATAGGCCTTGTTGAAGAGAGCCTGCAAAGCCACAAAGAGGATAAAAAATAATATTGATTATGAATATTTTTTCTATGCCAATGATGCTGAATAGGAGCCACGTATGAATATTATAACAAGCGAACAAACATGACTATAAGCTAATATGGAAAAAAAGTGAATTCTGATGTGAAAGTAAATTGATATCTTGGCCTATCTTGGTGGCTTGAGTAAAACGATTATCATACCGCGAGAACTTCTTTTTCACTGCTGCCCGCTTTGACCATTTCTTGAAGAGACGGAGCATCCTTGTTGCGGGGCAAACTTCGTATTATTAGCTGACCCATACTGAGAACTAGGACATTTTTCGTGTCATCAATTTTGCCCCCTTCATAGATCAGGATATATGACGGCTTCACTTGGACGAGAAGATCAAGGGAGGGCTTGTTGTCAATTGCATGTTGCAATCCCGTGGCTGACATCACCTTGAGGCTTTTTAAACCTGAAGCTGCCGTACTTTGAATACTAAAATATGGCGGGTACACATCGTTAATTATAGTCAACCTGGATAGGGCTTACTGGGTTCGAACGCAGTTGCATTATAGCTAATGCGAATTCTTTAATATTTTGGAACACGTATAAGCTTACGATTGCTTGTTAACGACAAAAACCTCTATACTTGCCGCTCGAGATATAACTATTCTAAAAGACCTTTCATTACTGAGACGCACTACGTACCTACTTCACTATCTGCCACACGCGTTTCTACCCTCGGAAGTAGACAAAAAAACCCTTGAAAACACGTACTTGTCAATGGAGACTGTGTTCGGAGGTTTGAAGATGTCCACGACAGCATCAAACGATCGCACGTCGTAAAACATTTCGACGGGTTCAGCGAACACTCGGACCCAATGGTCACATCCGCCTTGCAACGGATTCTTCTCGAAGGTCACATCCAAAAGATGCTTTTTTTCGGCTTCAGTCTAGAAAACGAACAATGAGTAAGTTATACGACAACGTACAGCGTGACGATGAACGCTAACTGTAAGCATTATTTGAAAGACGCCAACATTTAATATGTTTCCATACTTACACAAGCCTTTTGGTTGTTATCTGATGTTAGGAGCGTTCGTCTCTTCGAAGTGTCGCTCGGAAAACTCTCGATCATGAACGCTTCAATCTTGGCACCCACCTTCAGCGCATCGCCCTTGGGCCTCATCTCTATAGATGAAGACACTTCTTTCAGGGTTGTCTGCATCACTACTTCCTTAGGCCTATAGCACAAAGCAAGCGAGAATATATGAGGCTCTGTATTCGTGGCTTAAGGCGTCCTAAGCTGTATTTATGGGACAATTAATGTATCGGAAACGTTTAAAACCAATCTGATCGCATAGTTATTAACTACTAGAGTATAAGTTCCCTAAAAAATTCACCTTCTACTGTCGTCCGACACAATAATGTTGAGGGTTCGGAGGAGAAAGTTGAGCTTCTTGTCGACAAAGTAGATTGGATAATCAGCCGGCACCTGATTTTCGTTGTAGTCAATAGCGGCGTAGAGTTTCTTTTTCTCTTCCGCGGTCATCTTCTTTTGGAAGCTCGAGACAATTTCGTTTCCCCCTCCTATTTCATCGTCGACGGAACGATATCGAGGTAAATTTGTTCAGATAAAATAACGAACGCTGTGTACTTTAGAGAATGCGCTTTCAATCAATAGTTAGGATGAGAGAAAAGCAAAGAGCACTGAAATTGTATTAGTTGAATAAAACCCAGCGTTGATCAACATATTATTGCTAACGTTCAGGAGGCAACAACTTGCAACGCGTTATAGGCAATTAGTTTTATCTGAAATTGTGACATATAAATGAAAATTTACTTAAATTTACACATACGTGACTGCATACACTCAAAAATGTACACACAGTTAATTGGTATATGTACCGTGAAAGTATTTAAGAAAGAGCAGCTTGAATCATTTCTCAGAGTCCTTTAGCTTTCCACCTCTAATTTAAGTAAAGGTAAATCCAAGCCGGTAGATACTTGTCTAGCTCGAGGCACTAATTTATTGATTACACGCAAAAAGACAACTCTGAAAGCGAATATGGACAAGAATGACGAAGAAAAATGATCTCCTTTTCGGGGCCAGCTCATGCCAGCGACAAGCGGAACCGTCATCATAGTAAATGTAAAACAAAGAGATTGACGTTGTAATAATGCTACGCGGATCGGCAGCGCTGTCCCTACGCGAACTGTTGATAAGCCAAGCGAAACGAGCAAACATTCAGCGAAATTCTACCCAGTCCCATGTAGTTTAGAATTAAGGCTTTTCTATTTTGTAGGTCCTAATATGCCAGTTCTCCATTGAGCACTGACGTTATTCATTAAGCACATCCTCAACGTTATTTTACTCATAATCCAATGGTAAACACAGTTATATCCAGCCGCTGTTTAATACAAATTGCGGATCTCCCAAATGTGTATTTTTGATTAAACGATATACAAGATCACTGGTCCTATTCTGTACCTACCTATCTTCCCTAACTTTATGAAGGGATGCATTTACCTAAAGTTCATCGAATTGCGCACGCGAACAAAAAGACCTGTAGAAAACGCAGCTAACAGAACCTTTCTAGGTTCTTGTGGTGATTGCGTTTATAGTAACCTAATCCAAGGATGAACTAAAATGTGGCCCAAATCAAAGAAATCTCGAACGTGCAAAGAATCGAATGCTTAACGTTGATGCATTAGATCGATACATGTGCATGTATATACATACATACAGTAGAATTTTTGAAAAATACTTAGTAAGCTCTTACTAACCATCCTGCTTCACTCTTTTCTTGCGTTTAACAAGGTCCGCTTTAAGAACCTTGACACGATTCTTGCCAAAAAGAACTTTCTGATTAATTGCGACAGCGCTACCTTTCGAGCCCTTGGAGCTATTTCCCCGCCTTTTGATTTGATCAATACCCATTGGAGGTTTTGACGGCTGCTTGGTCTTTGAGGACGCACTTCTATCTGCCGTCGAACGACTAGTCGGCGTGGATTCAACAATTTTTATTTTTCTAGGCATCGCCTTTGATAAATGAGATCGTTCCGAATTTTTACTGCCAGATTTGTTTGATGCTCCGCGTCGAGTGGTCATAAATTTTTTACTAGTAGAAAAGCTTGTTTCTTTCAAACGCCGCTTGCGCACTTTTATTGCTGATGCTTCGTTCGCCTTGCTATTCTGTTTTTCAGGAAGCCCACTATCAAATAAACCTTGTGATTTACTAGTCAGCGGTTTGCGTGACCCTGGTAGTTTTTTTTGTTCACTAGAACTTGAACTTTTTTTGCTACCAGCCTCCATGAACTTATTATCCCGTTTATGCAGCTTCATTTTATTGGCCAAATTGGCTGGACCATCCCGTTTGCCTTGTGGCTTCGCCGATTTAACTGACTTGCTTGATTCAGCTGCTAAACTGCTAGATACCTCAGACTTACCCTCCTGTTTGCTAGCGCCGCCCCACCAGCCGCTCAACCAGCCCTTCTTGGGCTCGGGCTTCGGTAGTTTTTCGACCTCGAACTCAGCTTGACGTCTAGCCAAGATGATGTTGAACAGATCTAACTCCTCTTCAAGTCTCTGGACAGCCAGGGAGAAAGCAGTCACGTTACGCACTTAATGACAATGTCTGCACTAATTATATCTTGCTATAATTGAATAACAATGCAACCAGTGTGAGCATTATCAACTATTGACGGTAGTTCTGAGCGGGTCCCTAACGCACATGAAATGAAGTTACGGAAAATGATATACGCTCTTATGGCGTTGGATCTAGTTAAGGTTTCTAGCTGGAAAACGTTTGCCTAATTACCTTTAATCTGTCCGACTCTTTTTTCGTCTGCAGTTTGTTCTTGTACTCTTCACAATATTCCTTTACTTTACGAATATGTCCCAACAGGTAGTCGAGGTTCCACTGTCGTCGTCTAGGCCTAATATGTTCCTCCAGGATAGCGTTATAGGCAAAATGCCACCTGCGATAATCCAGCGCGATAAACCAATTATATGGAAAGGATTTAGGAAGATCACAATTTGTTGCTAGAGTATCGAACGTACTATTTAGTTAATTCCACTAGAATGAGAAGAATTACCGCAGCAAATCAATTGATATAATCTGGGTCTTTGGATTTATGCTAATGCTTGTATTCTGGGCCCCCCACCATTTCTTAGCGTTTTTATGCACGGGTACTTGTGGGTGGTATTTGCGGAACTTGTCGGCTAACCACATGCGATTCATCGAGTCGACCAGCGCCACAATATCGTGATATTGGTATTTTGCCATAGCGATAGATATATCTTCGACGAGTATATCAACCGTTGTTGACGGCATCTGATAGTGGTTTAACTCAGGCTTCTGATTGATTTTCATACGTGCCGTAGATGTAATTGGTCCCACCACTGTAATTAACAAGCATCGACGATGTTTTATGAGTAAAATGGTGACTCATCGACCGATCAAATCGTTTATATATGCAGATTCAGATTGCGGGATAGTAAGTTTATGAAGAATGAATATCTGCACCAGTCATTAAATTGGATAGCTGCTTTATCTAAAACTAGTTATGTTTCCAATAAGAACTTTCACTGATAATGCATATTGACGTCGCATTACGTCGACTTGCGTCTTAATGTTGCTTACTGTATCCGAAATCGAGCGGTTTGAAGTTTTCGCGTGCGATCGTATTAACCAGCTCAGCCATAATCTCCCTTGAACTGAGGTGCGCGATAAGCCTGACCCTCGAGTTCCAGTAGAATGAGAAACTATCTAGCGTAATGAGTTTGTGGAATATATGTTGAGCCCGATTGACCATCTGTGGCTGCCAGTTCTCATCCGTCGTCTCGAAGTTCAGTCGGTTGAGCGTTACTCCAACGCAGAATGGCCTTGCGGCATTGCTGAAGTTATCCTCGTATCTCAAGTGAATGTTTGAAATTTTCACCTGGAGGTTTTTGACGACCTGGGCAGCGATTTTCTCTACAAGCGTATCTTCTTTCTCTTTCTTTACAGGGTTCTTCATCTCTCGTTCCTGCGGAATAATTATCATGAATAAATATATCTAGTCAACAACTAGTGACTTCTTAAATGGGCCTCATGGCTATACGTTACAACAGATGAACAACCTTTATCATTATTATTAATGTTCACAAGCAATTTAGAGCTCATTTCTACAAAAAACGTGAGTTTATCCGATAACAAACTGAGAACTTGATGAGTTAACAGATATCAGCGTCTAGCAATCGCACAGATACCTTGATCTTCATCTCCTCGTTGGCTGCGAGAGAACGCTGTTTGGCATCCTGAGCTGCACGGAACTCCTTGGCCGCGTCGTAACGCGCCCCAGACGAGGGAACAATGACAGCGTAGACCCCATCGATAGTGGCGACCACTGGTGATCCGTAAAGGTCTTTCCATGGTATCTTTAGAGTGAGCTTCTCTGCAACAATAAATTTCGAAACGTACGAATTAATTGAATGACTCTTTAAAGGCAGTATATGGCACGAGCAAACAAATGGTTACTGTCACTACGATACCAATAAGACCATCAGTCAGACTGGAATGCTAAATTGTCCTTAAGAGTTTTTCGAAGTTTGATTATTACTTTATATAGTTGATAAGTACACACAGTTAGGTAGATACACTCTTTCGTTTTTTAAACAAGTTTTTAAACAAACTGTATACCTTAAAGATTACTCATTTTGTCCACTCATAATTCTACAAACAATTTTTAGTTCGGTAGAAAGAAGCCGATCGAGTAACAATGCAAGCCAATTGTTACCTAACAAGCTGTTTTGCAATTTCAATATATTTACTATAATTTGATAATATTTGTACTAGAGGCGTGCATAGTCGGTCATTTGTGATTCACTGCGCAGGTTACAGACTGCAGCTAAATTTTAAAGCATAGGATTTCCCGATATGTCTTTTTGGCCCGTAGGGCCAGTTATATTATTTACATACAGTTGAGTGCTTCCTTTTTAAAGCGTTAGCATCAGAGATTTTCACTGGTCTGCCGATTCGCCCTTGCCTTCATATTGTGTACCCGAAGCAGGTATCAATGGCCTATGTAACAATTTATCATAGAGGCTGCAGTCATAGAATGTCTATCGTGAAAAATGCGAAGTGGAAGCTCTTGAAATGCGTTTTTAAAATATAGCCTATGATGTTTTGCGAAATAGGAAGTGTTGAAGACTACTAACCCTAACTTGCCCCTATTAGCCTCTTGCTACGAGACAAACGATAACCAGTAGCTAACCTAGAATTACGAAAGAAGCCAAATTCATAATAAAACTTTCCGAAAATCAGTTACGCTATCTCTACGTGTTATGGTGCTCGTTTGCCAGCTTGCGGCAAACGATAGGTTGGCAAACAAATCGTGGTCATAATATTGTATAGGCTACTAGCCCATTTAAGTTCAAAAGCGATGTCTAAATCTAACAACACGCTCCCGCAATCCTTCAGTCAATATCAAAGAACCATGCGTTTCGCATGTTGGAAAGGCGATGTTTTAGTGAAAAGGAGTTGCTCACAAAAACATATGTTCGCTATATAAGTTGACGTCCACGTAAAAACGATTCGTTTAAGTTAAATTCTCGCTTATTTTTCTTTGGAACTGATCTATATGAATTGTGAGTAATAAATGGTAGGTGACTGTTGACGTGCTAAAAGTGTAATATGTATGGACCCATATTCGAATATGCCGTTTTCATCCTTAAAACAGATGCTTTATACATTCCAGTTCACTTTAGTTGAATTGAAAGTACGTCTTAAACAGGCCGTGTAATCTAAAGTTCGTTTACGAAATTAACGACGATACAGGTGAGTTAAGGTATCTGATCCGGTCGACATCCTGAACAATCTGCAGGTTGGTACAAAAAACTGATCTAGAAGATGACCGGACTTTCCTACTTAATTTGCTGCCTTTGTCTAATCTGACCGAATCTCTCGATCGCCGGTTAACTATTAGGTTATACGCACACCTCACTAACAAATTTGATATCATAACAACGGCACCTGTTGCTGTTGTTTAACGTTAACGAGATACAAGTGCTTCATATTGAATTCACGTGAATTGTACCAAACTCCGGTTACGCATAAGAATGACAGTAAAAGAGAGAGAGCGGCCAGCCAGCTTTAAGAATCAGTCAACCTGTCGTCAACCCACTGATCGTAGTGAGTACTCAGCTTATAGAATACGGCTTAGCTTCAGAAAAAAGCTTAACATTACTCCTTACAATGATCGATTCGTACCATCATGCTCGCACTTTTACTAAAATGAACGGCGGAGTCACCGCAAAACCAAGGTACCATTAGAACGCGAAGGCAATATACAATCGCGTGCCACCCACTCAATACGCTAGGTGAGTAATTAATAACTATACCGAACAGCTAAGCCGGTCCGGACAGTAACAACACTAATGGCTGTCAGCAAGAGGCGACATTCGGAAGTCGGTACCGCGGACTTGTGAATCTTTTGGAGGGAAGGAAGGTTATCGCGAGAAAAATTGCCGCCCCTAAACTAGGACTTCTCGGGCCTTTAACACTTGACGCAATCTTGCTAGTGTTATCGTCAATGGCATATGAGTGGAACGAGAGACCGTCAGTCAGAGAAGACTAGAAAAACAGCACAGATGTATGTAGTAGGAACTCTCTGAACTAGAACCTTAACGTCACGAAGAACCTTAGCGAGAACGCGTAGAACTCTTCGCTTATCTCCTTTACTTCCCAGCTGTTGCGGTCTAGCTCATACATAATCCGCTATAGCAAAAAGGAGTGCATTGCAGATCTCCGTTGCGAGCTCGAGAGCAGGATTTTCACGTGGCCGTACGGGCCCACACTGATAGTGGCCTCAACTAGCTTCTACACAAGAGAGTTAGACGACAAAGTATCAACAATTATAGCGAACGAAAGTGAGCATATGGCGAATCTGCAACATATCGCACACTAGGAGCGGCGAATTTTCTTAAAGACTGGCAGTCGAATAAAAAGTGGGTTAACGGGCAGAGTTTAGTAGAACTATTTACAGTTTTCCACAAGTTAAGCTGTAACGTTTCTGGGAAGAAAGTTTGCGTTGCCAGTGCGGTGTTGAGAAATCGTTTTGCAAAGCTCTAAGGTAAACTCGAATGTTCTTGGCCTAAAGCTTCGACAATTATTGATTGAAAGGCACTAGAGACTATCTCAAGGAGATACAATCTCCCTCTAAGCGTCAAACTGCTATCACAAAAAATAGTGTTGGCAGACAATAAAATTCCCGAATAGGCTATTTTTGTTTTTCTTTGTGCTACAGTACAGTAGATATTTCACATTTATAGGTAGACTCTACTATAACTATAGTTCCTTAAAAGGCAATCAGATGTCAAAGTTTCGAGTACGGGATAGACAGTGCTTAATATCAACGGTTTTTCGGTAACCTGTTATGGTTACTTTTAGGGTGCCTATTCGAAATGTTAATGTGTGGTGCTAAAAATTAATAAATAAATTGTTTATCTTCATAATTTTTCAAGATAATGCTGGATTTTGGTAATATATATAAGCCCCCTGTAAACCTACGCATTGTTCAGCTATCAAAATCATAACGATGTTCTTATTAGTGGTTAGCTCTATTTTTAACTTTTTTTTAGCTATAACATGTATAGATCTACAATGAAGAAAGAGACCGAATAGCTAGCTACAAGAAAAACATCTTTTTGTCTGTTTCCTAAAACAAAAATACGCTCTTACTAACTAATATAGTTCACTTTATCAATATTTCCTCGACAATTCCTCGTCTCAATAGGCGATTATTATCTATTTATTTATTTGATGAGTGCACGTAAAAACATCGGACACGAAGTTCACCTCGTAGTTTCAATTCCTACCCAAGCCCAGTTCTGGGGTTTATATTGATGCAGTGTAGACGAATACATTTACAGCATCCATTGAGCGTCGTCAAACAGTTCTTAAATGGAAGATAGTGTTCCTTCTTGAGGCGTTCTTCAACTGCGGCTGCCTTTGACTAGCCACGATTGGAAAAACCTGGTCGCATGACGGCGACGCCCTCATTCGAAGTACCGCCAATATTCGAATCAATTCCGACCCTTCTTTTTACTACGTCTAGATCGAGAGGTGAAACGGGTCGCGGCCTTGGAGAGATGGCAAATGTATTTGTTGATTTATTGGCCATTTCAACCATTATGGGAACCATTAACAGTCGAAACTGATAGCGAAACGCGAACAATTGAACTAAGCAGCACTCCAAAGTGAAAAACATGCAAATAATTGGTATACGAGTAGCTATAAAAGCCATAAAACGATGTTATATTGGCTCCAAATTGGCACATTGGTTATATTGGCAACGCTTAACAACCTGGTCAATGACTCATGCCTAAACTGCAGATGATCGAATCGTTCTACCCTATCTGCTGTAACAATATATAGGCGTAGTAATGATCACAAACTTGCGTTATCATAACGTAGCTTTGTCCACCCGCAACGTCCACACAGATAGTATATACGTATGTCATAGAGGGATATCCATCTAGTTGCAATCAATTTCAAAATAGCTCCATTTAATACATATGAAATTCTATTTAAATAAAATTAAGATCGGCTTGCTTGGGTTTCATCACGACGCTCAATGTGTGCCATTTCATAGTGGCGCCTATTTCTTCTTCAACTCTATCTTATAGTCGTCCGTAGATACATTTGCTTTCTGGGTACCTAAATAAATAAATATAAGTGAAGCGGATTGAATCTGGACTATTTCACGTTATCCCACTTTCCGAAGCGATCCTTCAATAACGCAACGATGTTGTCAGCCATCCTGCTTATCCTTGCTCACGGTGGCATATTTTTCTGCAGAATGGGGCGTCTGTGCCTACACATTTCCAACGTGGGGTCAAGTACATGTGAAGAAATGGCCAAAAACTGTGTGAAGCGAGTTTGTGAAATTGTGTGCGAGATTTCAGTACGTGGTGCGCGTAGAATATTCTAATTACTCAATGTGCGGGTGTGTCGGAACCCAATAAATTATTTTTATTTAAGATGAAAACCCGTCGAGGAGGCAATGGGAAGTTTCCAACAGAAGCAAATCACCACGTTCGAAAATCGGTAGTAGGGGGTTTATTCAGAGTGGACGAAAGTATTTACTATATCGCACTTCTAACAGACGGCAGGCTATTGTGATTCGCTGTCTATTTTCTAAATATACGTGGCGTTTACTGGTTATCGTTCAGCTCTACATACACCAACCATCGTTGTGTTGTTTATAAGTCCTTCCAACATTTGCCATAGAATACATTTGTCTAGCACACTTCAATACACACATTGTGCTCTTTGCGCTCACTGAACCGACTCAATGACGAAGCTTGTGCAATAGCAACACTGACGACGGCGGCGACTGCGATAGGAATTTTGAGCTCGATTAAATGGACAAATAGATGGTAATTCGGTATTATCTTAGTGATGCATCGTTTTGATTCGCAAGACCCTCAGCGCTGACGTGCGCGCAATACTAATTCTGGAACCGGACGCCGAGCGTACCAAAGACCGTCGCAAAATTTTTGAAGGATACAAGTCGACGAATACAAGGATTGCAAGTGGACGAATGGCAAACTTTGCTACGATACCTTTGCAACATTTACGATGTTCGTTACCAGCGTCGCCTTTCATCGGAGGAACAGTAGCTCACTAATGGGGACTACAGAAGGAGTGTGTCACCTATACCTGGTCCTAGGCAGTAGTATACTACCTGGTTTGTCCGCCCATCGTCAATCCTTATTGCTGGAGAAAGGGGCGTTGTATAACTAAGAGGAGTTTTAATAACCGGGAATGAAACTGCTATGCTGACAATACAAACCGATAAATAGCTCGACAGACTAACGGTCGAATCAGGCTGGAAAGTGTGTCCCGCGCGAAGGTTGGCAAGTTTGCCGGCATCAATACAGGGTAGCGATAGCTGTATGATGCCACTGGCGCCGATGTCTGCGTGTTTTGTGTAACTTTTGTTCGCTCATACAATAGCTTTCCATCCCCTTAGTCCTTTCGAATCCCCGAGTGAGGAAACAAAAGCCAAGCAAACGCTTACTGAGTTTGCTTTGGAACAGTTGGAAGAAAACCGTTATCTTTGAGGCTAACAGCAGAAACGAGTACGTGACGTAAAGGGACGTTGGTAGTCTACAAGCATTGCCTACTGCAATAGGGATCTTATAGAGACAAAAGTAACACGATAAAACGAATGCCAGTCGGGTTTACAGACGTGTTCACAACTAACGTTCTATATACGAAGGAACACCTGCTTCATATGCTATGTTGTAGTAGGTACATAGAGCTGTAGAACTCGCGAAGACGATATATTGGTGGTAGACACGGTGCTAGTAAAATAGAGAACAATTGTGATACTTGAGACAGGTCTCCTGCTTTCACAAGGTACGACGTCGCTGCCAGCGACTAATTAACTTGTCTAAGATTACCTATACGCTTAAACTGCAAAACAAATGTTTCGTTTATCTGCTTCGAGGGAGTTGTTTAGCGGTATCAATCAATAATCAATTTGTTTTTATCTAGCAACCTATATATGTATGTAGATATACACACACACACAGCAAATATATAGCGAAAGTATCGAAACTTACTGATGAAGCCGTATGTTACTCGGAACGGCACATTGAGGTCGTCGAGTGCTGAGGGCTTGATGGTCAGATCTGTTAGATCCACATTCCCTGCAAAGCGCAATCAAGAAAGAAGAATATTGATGTACGTATTGGCATAACGATTCATGAAATCTACTTTGTCTTTTTTCAATAATTAATTGTATAGGCGAAAGCACAATAATTTAGGCGATATTCACTGATTTCAGCATGACGGAGAAATTTTTATCTTACGAAGTGTTTGAGGGCCAAAGAGTTCCATGTTCTATAACGAGCTGCGAAGGCTGTATTGAAAAGCTTATAAAAGCATTTAAATAATGCTTCGTTCGTAGTTCTTAAGATAAAGAAAGTCAACTGGCTTCGGAACGGACTGGTACTCCAAACAGAAGCGCTGTAAAAGCAGCCTAGCTCCAGCAAGACCCTACAATACCAATCGAGCATAAGTAACAGTTGCAGGATATACAAGCACGGCCATGCCACGTCGAGCTACTAATTAAATTAATGAAGCCTCGTCCTTCGGCATACGCGTCGGTTCATCTGTCTCGGTACCTGAAAGGGTAACGGGCCTGCTTGCATTGCTTTGCCATAGCAGACATTCGCAAAGTGAACGCGCAGATGAACCTCTGCTAAAAGAACTGCCAATGATACAATTATTAAGCTACTGTAGATGTCGACCCTTGCTCCGCCAGGTGGCAAATCCAACAAGCTCTTCGTACCCAGCTTTAGGTTAGGTTGCCACCTTCAGTGAGACGAAGAAAGAACAAGCTGACATTGCCGACGACGACGACAAGGTTTCGATTGTTTTGATGTTAAGAAAAAGAATCCAATGATAGATGTACGTTGCGACTCATCCAAGCCGACCCGGCCTTTCGATATGAATAAACAACTATCGATACATTGGTGGTTGATGTCTCGCCACATCATATGATTACATGCTTGCACATAGAGAATACACGTAACATGTGACACGCATAATACATGTCAGGAGGCCCAGGAGAATTACAACATTTCTTCCCATAGTTCCCACACAAGTACGTGATCCCTCTTATCGTTGCTTTTCGGTTTTTTGCGAGACTAGTTAACCTATTTATCGATGAAAGTAAGAGCACACTTCAGTAGGACGTCCTGTTCTCGTCTTCGACGTGGCCTAAAGGTAAGGATCCGTCGTTTCTCGGCTGATATTCGCTTGACGATTTATTTTACAAGAAACTCATCGATTCTTCTGCTCCTTACTCATTCTGCTGCTACCAAGCAAATAAAATAGCATACTGGGTTGGATTTGCATATCGGAAGCTCATTCAAGAACCCCAAAATTGTAACTTAGCGTAAAAACATCTGAATCGTTCTCAGAGAGTTCTGACCCATGGGAAAGATTTCTAAGAAGCACTCGAAAAACAATTTGATATCTGACTTTTAATATTCGTTTTACAAAGACCACACGTCTCTCAGCAGGTCGAATGAGAAAGCTGTCGCATAAATTCCCTCATTCCCATGAGACTGAAGGTATGACAGGATTGAAATTGCTAGGGGAGCATTATCCTGTACATACTTTAGTAAATTGTCCCGCATCTGAACATGAAATTACCACTACATTCCTGTTCCAAAAAATGTTCGTAGTAACTAGCCACGTTTTTGCATTATTATTACACCTAAATTAGGCAACTGCTGGAGCGAGTTTCGAGTATTAGACGGTAATTCTGGCCGCCTGGCATGCTCTGAACGTACACCTCTTTGCTAAGCTTTCCTGTGGTTACCATGGATAAGGTCCTACTTGGCTACCCAGCGAAAAGCTTTGCTTATTATAAACATCCGCCCGCCAATCGTAAAGGCTAAGCTTGGCTTTACTCTAGAGCCGATATTCCAATTGGGGTCGGCAATATCAGCCGTTGCAGGACCACCAGGCTTCAGAACAAGTCATGGTTTAGAGGATAGCCTATTTTTTTACTCGGCAAAATCAAGAAGTACAGAACCAAAGCGAAAACTGCGTTCCGCCTTCATACTATTCTTCCGTGTTTTGCTAAACAAACTCTATTTCTCTACAAACTCATTCTGAAGAGAGTTGTTTTCAATCTCAAAATATGCTAGAATACTTAAGTATAAGAATAACTGTAAAAGACAGAAATTTCGAGATTTAAAAAGAATGCATGTTGCATTCCTTATTAGTTTAGCAGAGGTACCGCAATTAAAGGCTAAATCCGTTCTGACCTAAGCGTCAAAAGGCGAAAAATTGGTCATATGGACAGAACCACTAAAACAGCAATTTTAAGGAAGCTACTCGTATATTCATGCTATTATAATATGAATAGTCTCGCTATGTGACACTCGAGTTTCAACTGATTCTGAATTAATCTTATACGAGCTATAACGTAAAGATCCTTCTAGTCTAGATGTAATCTAGAACAGAAGTACTTAGCCATTTCTGTCTTATGGCTTAGTATTTTTTCGAAGTAATTTCGAAGCCTTGGCTTATATCTAGCCGAATAAATTCGCGGAGACATTCTTTGTCTTTGTCGATAGTTTGACAAAGGTGTTATGCTGATTTTTACCAGCATAGGAGGGAGGGAGAAGTCACATGGATGATTATAAAAGGCTTGTGAAATTTTTACGTGAAAAAACGAAAGAATCTGTCGTGTTAAATATTTAACAAATCACAAAACACTAAAAAAGCTTACGAAGCCAAGCCTTTAAAAACGTAACGACTTCAGACGACTCACATGTAAGAGCGAGAAATTTTACAGAACTAGTCACTATATAGCTTGAAGTAAAACTTTTTATAGTTTTTTTCTTAGGAAATGAATACATTGCCATAACATAGCCAAGTTAGAACATCCTACAGAGAGATAAAGCCAAAATAGAAATTCTACAATTAGGGAATAAATAATATCAAAACGAAGCTCCATTAACTGCGTGGATTTGTCTGTTGTCTACATCGATAACTCAGCCTTGCTGTATAAACATCCATCTGAGCTAGCGTGTTTATGTTGGGCGGACAAATCCGATCGGCGAACTGCCAGCAGCATGCCCTGCGCAACATTTGACCTCTTCTGCTGAAAACGTCAGCGCAGTATATATCTCCTTGGTAATAGCAGTACTTAGCGCCAACAACAGTCTTGGGTTAATGGTGGAAGGTGCTTGTAATTAAACAGCATCAGATCTACTACTGAAACCAGCACCAGTCTCCCAAGCTCCAATCGAATGCAAATTTTGTTCTATTCGTTCAATGAGCAGTGACCGGATCCACGAGGCCAGAGTAGTCAGAACAATAAGAGACGACGCTTTGCCAACCAACCAATTTACGTATTTGATCGGCCTAAACAGATGACTCTGGCTAACTAATCAAGCTGGTACTAACAATAAACAGAATATACTACGGACTGTTGAGCAGCGCATAGCCGCAAATAGAACTATAGAGACTACTTATACCACAGGAGTCGACCATAGAGAAAGTTATTGTATTTAAGGAAGCTACGTTTGCAAACGCTGAAAACCTTCAGTGCTTTAACTGCTTAAGGGTCACTGCCCCTGCAGTAATCTTTACTTGTCAAACTTTCAACAGGTTCAAGCACGAATGTATTTTTCATTTGAGAACTACGTATAATTAATGTTGAATATGACTCATTGTTCGTGCATTAACCATTCCATAAAGAATATTGAAACAGTGCCTTAGTAAGCATTTTTCGAGCTTGATACATTATGGCGACATGGAAGCTTCCGAGCTCGTCACGACGACTACTCAGTGCAAACGTCACAAATTCGATTGCTCTCTATAGCGATCTGAACTGATATGCATGTGGCCAAGTTGGCCTGAATCTCAGTGTTAGAAGAAAGGTTGTGTAGTATTTTTTATCAACGCTGGGATTTTAAGAATAAATAGGCATTATCAAAAATATTAATAAATAAAAAAATTGTACATTTCTTTTGGTGTACCATAAATGCATTACTTTACATCACACGTCATTTCGGTCCTGGCTTCGCTGTCGCTAGGTTACCACTCGTAAACCCATCTATTTAACTCGCTTGAGAAGGGGGCCTGGTCTGGGTTGTTAATGCACATCCCTCGGCACGTTCCCATAGTAACCTAAACTAACAGACATGTGGTTACGCTGGTCCAAATCTGTTTGCAAAAAATATTGCTAATTCTTTTTACAAACATTGAGATTTTAATAACCAGGAAAATCCAGGAAAAATAACCACGAAAAGGAAGCCAGGAAGTGGAGCTTAGCTGTTCCCGTGCCGTTTTATAGGTCTTTGGGAAAACCCTAGATAAATCCAGCAAGACCTACTTCAGTTTGGTTCCTAATGAGGGCAAATCCTTGACGCTATACCTAAATAAAAGCATGATTCCGTAGACCTACTCACATAACAAGAACTTTATTTGAAGGTTCTTTTTGTGTGTAAGCAACAAACATTTTCATTGCTCCAATAGAAGCTTAAAAAAAAATAGGGATTCCATTGTAGCTCATGAGACTATAGAAGGTTGGGTTGAAGTAAGGAGGTCTGAAATGAACAGACAAGAATTTGCAAAAGTATCGATTCATCGTTTTTGATGATGAGGAACGCCTTCAATGTTGATTGGATGAATTGGATCGGTCAACAACCTTCCCATTCCACTCTTTCGCTCCACTATCTGTTTACTTCTCCACAGAGATGGACAACGCCCTTCTCCATGGAACAACGTATGGAACTTTATAGGTTCAGGCTTGAAAGTTGAATATTTCAGTCGAAAAACAGCTTCTGCATTTCCGGCATCTACTTTATTTCGCCTCTGGCCAAAAGACATTTGTACTGTGTGCAACACGAACACTGACAGAGAACGCTTTGTTTAAAAAGACGATATCTTGTACCTAGGAGACGTACTCCCACTGCGGGCAGCAAGCAGAGATCGACAAAGGCCTCATTTGACAAACGATTCGCAAATTCACATCTATTGTGAGGTTTTACGAGAAATGAAGAGCCTGAGCGCTTCATAAACTGGGTGAAAAGCAGAAAGCAATAAGACTTCTTATTGTTTCTTGATATTTCGATCTCCTCTTGAAAGAGACCATGATTTGCATTTAGTAGAACCAGAAGAA